TTTTTTTTTTTTTGCCAGATTTGTTTGAAGACTAAACCAAAAGAAAAAACACCTAACAAGATTGTAAAAAGTGCATAGTAATTTGTGTCTAGCGTTCAAAGAAATTAATTTCCTTGAATGCACCTGGTTAATATGTAGGGTGTGCCCTTAAAATCTTCCGAAGAAGAATTAGTCTTAAGGTATGCGAAAACTGGTCCAAGGATACCCTGACCATAAATACCAAAAAAAAAAAGTGCATGGTAATTGGAAGTAACATGTTAGAGCATGCCACAAACTCAAATCAAGCTCTCAACTACCTACTCCCTCTCCCCCAAACAAATCTCTTTGTTAAAATGAAATCTATTTGTTAAACCTGCACCTACCTTCGTAAATAATCAATATGAAGAAGGCGAATAGGTAACTGCTCAAATCCATTAGTTGTGTTGCTAGGTTGCTACGTGTATGTGCTGAAAGGAGGGTAGGGGCTTGACAGAACTTCTAGATTGTGTTGGGGTTACAGGCAGACTAACAATCTTTTGCCACAACCAACTACATGTGTACTTGTCTTTTCAGCATCATCTTCTTGGGATTTTGAAAAACAACAAATATATTTTAACACCTATCTATCTTAATAAAAAACGTGTTTATAAAACTTCTACTAAGAGCAAGAAAAAGGATGATGTCACACCAGGGCAAACCAATATAGCTCGCTCCAAGAGCAAAATTTCCAATCCATCCATTTTGTTTTAGCTGCAAAAGTATAGTAGCAACATAGTCAAGCCATAAGAAGATTTTCTTCAGATATGTAAAATACTAGTGTTCTTCTGGATAGGATGAAAGGGAAATACCTTTAAAGGTGGAGCAGAGTATATGTATGAAAGCAAGGATCCACCCACAGCAAGGTAAAATACAATAGGGAAATTATGTCCTGCCTATCAAGGAGGATTAGGTTGAGTGTTCATCATTTCTATGTATCTTACAAAAAATAAACAGAATCACCTACCCACAAATCTAACAAACCAGCTAAGCCAAGGCCAGCCAAGAGAAGAACCCAGATCTGGGTAATAACCTGCATGAAATTTGAAAGAACATTACAACACAAATTGGTGCTTACAAATACATTCAAGTTATCTAAATCACAGAAATCAAACCTCATTCTCAGATATTGCTCCTGAAGGAATAGGACGATAAGGCTCATTGATTGCGTCTATCTCTCTATCATACCAGTCATTGAGAGTCTGCAAGAGCAAAATATCCCAACAAGTTTGTATCGTTTGAGTCAAAACACTCATTCATGTAATAGCAAGGTATAAGACGTTTTAACATGGAAAATTTTGGCCAAAATAATGCATGAGAATTATATTTATACCTGTGTATAGCCTGTGAGACATGGACCAGACATTATCATGCAAATAATTGACTTGGCAACATCCTCAAAAGTCCAGTGGAAGTTTCCTAGAACATATAAATTACTTTTAGTAACTTAAGTTTAGTTTCATTTTTAAATGCTTAAGCAGGTTCACCTTAGGAACACAAAAACCAGTCATGAATGAAAAGATAATGGGTTATTTGGGTAGTTAATTAGGCTGCTCAATCCAGCTTGCCCTCATCCCTAGCATAACTAAAGATACTTGGATTAGAACCTAAGCATGCCTACAATACATGTAAAGAGACTTCCTAATTTTTTGTTTAAAACCTGAGCATAAGTAAAGATCTAAGGGTTCATTCACAAGCGATTTTCAGATATGTAACTAAACTGTACACAGTTATGATCCTTCTCTGGAGCAAGCAAGAAGAACCAGAAGAAAATGGATAAACCAGTTTGGCTTACACATTTTTCCAGCAGTGGGAATAAACAAGAATTTGTTGGCAAGAGAAGGAACTAGAGAGATTGAGAAGAAACACTAGTTGGAATAGAAACTTCCATGCTGAATATCTAATAAAATATGACTTTTATATGCAGAATCATGAAGAGATTTTACAGAAGCAGGCAATTTAAGCTCAGAGAGTACCAGAAGCAGCCGCTCCACAGGCAATTCCCCATACCAGTGGTGGCCAAGTGACAGGCTTTGCAAGTTGAAGACGAATCCTCCATTTGTCCTGTATCAAGCAAATTACAAAATCAACTTAGCGTAATGACTTTATGGTATTTATTAAGTCATCAACTTAATATACAATACAATAAATAGAGAAATAGAATCTAGTTCAGAAAGCAACGCCTAAGACAAGTTAATCCTTTTCTGAAGTAAATTAGTTCTTTTCAAGGATTCATTTCAAGCAAAATTATTGTAAACATTATAAGAAGTTAAAAACCCAGGAGCTTCAAATATCCAGACACAAATATAATGGAAGTCAGCACTTATGATGACAAAATTGATAATTCTAATACAATTGAGGAGTAATTTCTACAATTAGCATCCTAGTTCTCTCAATTGTATTTTCAATCCACACCCCAAGTTCCAGTTCAAAAGACATAACACGCTACTAAACATGAAAATATTACTTTACAGATCAACCATTGCTTGCGAAAACAGTTCCAATGGCAACTCAAATACATCCAAAAATTTACTGATACAACATAAATGCATTATGGCAACAAGAACTTGATCTTTTTAGTTATTGTTCCTTCAATTTATCAGAAATTAAGTGAAATACGTTTGCCCCTGAACTCCTACTCTGTAGACTAATTCCATGCACCAGATATGAAATAATGAAAAAGAAAAATTAAAATGGAAAATAATATATAGATGAATACGACTCACAGTTGCTTGAGAGGCTCCTTTAATACCAAGAAGCTGGTTAAAGCTGGATCCACCAGCAGCAGCAGGTGCCTTGTCCGGAACCTTAGATTCAGCTACCACATGCTCAAACTTAGCCACCACACAAATATATATATATATATATATACACACACAAATATATATGAATACATAGAGTTATTAACTATCCGTATTATTTTTTAAAAATTAAAAAAAAAAATTTTAATTACATTATTTTAATAAAATACAATCATAAAACACCAAAAAAACACTTCAACTCATAATTTCATATGATATTTTAATTTTTTTAATGAAAATTTATTAAAACTATCTAATTTTAAAATAACTTTTCTCTTGAAAACCAAAGCGGAAGCACTATTCCTTACATATATTGGAAGAAGAAAAAACAGAAAGGAAACAAAAACTCCTAGCCGTTCAAAATCAGAACAAAAATCAAAATCAAAGGCGCGAAAAATGAAAAACTCAGGAAACCTTTATCTGTATCGGTATCCGCCGCCCTGATCGTCAGTCTCCGCCCTGAGAATACATAGATTTCAAAAGTAAACAATGCTTAGAACCAAACAAGAGAAGCCGCAAAGCAGAAACACGGAGCATGATTGTTTACCGAAAGCAAAATGCGATCAATGAAATTAGTAGGATAGGAATAGAGGCCAAACTCAAACAAAAACCGCCGGCGGGCGAGAGAGAGATGAGAATGATTGACTCACTGGTAAAAGAAGCAGAAACGGGAGGTGAAAGGGACTGAGTCCTAACTCGGTAGTTGTTGCTGCCGGCATAGACGCTGGATAAGGATAATCTTAAGGATGAGACAGTATTCAGCACAGACGACATTGAAGATCAGAGTGAGCGAGCTTTGTTTCTTCTTCCTTTTTCCACTTTCTCCCGGACGAATGCAAGTGGACTTTAATGGCGCTCTATAACATTATTAAATTCCTTTTTTTTTTTAATGTCTTTAATAAATTATTTTCATAATTTGTGAAAGTAGCTTTTTATAGTATTTTTTTCTTTTTTTTGGAAATAGGACAATAAGTACATATTTGGTGTATGGGGAATAGCAGAAGGGAAATTCTTGGCCTCGATGAGGCAACACGGGGGGATCAATCATCAATGTCCTTAGCTGCCGGAGATTGGTTTGTTTCACATGTGACGTTACACGCGCCCAATTAATGATTTTTTTAATAATTAATTTATGTTAAAAATAAAATTAATTATTAATTATTTAATTAAAATTATCAACTAATCATTAGTATTGAAATTAATATTAACATTTTTATTTTTTTGTATATTTCTCAAAAAAATCATATTTTAAGTTTTTAAGTAAGGGATTTTTTATTTGTATTCTAAAATAAGGTATAATAAATATATTTTTTTATAATTAATATATATAAAAAATGATAAAAATGAATTTGAATTTAATTAATTGACTAATTAAAACTATTTACTCGATAATAATACTGAAATAAAAGCAAATTGTTATTATTTTATATGTAAATTAATTATAAAAAAATATATTTATTGTATTTTAATGTGTATTATAAAGACATAATTTAAACAAATCCTTTAACTAATATTTTTAAAAATAAACTGTTAAACACTATAAAATATACATGTTAATTAATTATTAAACCAACTCTTAAATATTTAATTTAATAATTAACTTTTAAAAACATTAATTACAAAGTGAAGTTTTAGAGAGATCCTAAAAGAAACATTAAGAGAGACAACACACACTCCCATTAAGCAATCTCTTACGTGGCCAATGGTGATTATGTTGTTGATTGGGCAATAGGTGGAATACATCCAGTTCTAAAGTTCGATCCTCTTACCAAATAGTAGATATTAACATTTAATTTAACTATTTTTTTCTATCAAAAAAAAAAAAAAAAACATACACTCCGGTTTAAAAAAATTAAAAAAGAGACATCACACACTACAATAACCCTATATTTAGAAAATGCTGGTAACAAGAGACAAACTTAAGCAGTAACTTTGTTAGTTTTAAGACGCAATTATAGGGATATCAAGATTTTTATAACGTACTTAATAGTTAATCCAACTGTAAAACACCACAATCACAATATAAACAATAAAAGCACATGCATAAAGCCAAATTTTCTTTCTCTTTCCTGGAGAAATAAAATAGTCTGCCTACTTTAATAGATAAAGATTCAAAGTTAATTATCACCACTTGACTGATAAAATATTTTTTTTTTTTAAGAATGTGATTGGTTTAAATGAATTTTACAATTTTTGTGAAAATTATTTTTAATTTTAAAATTATAAATCATGAAATTGAGTTAAGATAAACCAAAATTTGTCTACTTTTATGAGACTTACAAATGAATTCCATATTGAATTTATTTTAGTAAATAAAATAAATTCTATTTTCATTTAAACTTAACACACTCAAAAATTTTAAAACCTCAGAATTCGTTTTCAAATTGAACTCTTAAAGGAATTTATTTGGAAACGAAATGAATTCTATTTGTATACCAAACACACTAAGAAATAGTTGAGTGGATTGGGTTGGTAAAAACAAAAAACTTGAGTAAGAAAATACAGGTATAAGAATAGGATATGAGTCATGACCCATCAACACTGTATAAAATACAGATTGAAAGTAACAAAACTTATTCACTGGTTTTGCTGCAAGCAAGCAAACCAAAGTTTACTTGTAAACTGGTTTTCATGTCTTTCAGTTTAAGTTAAGTTAAGCAAAGCAAACTTAGGCGTCTATGGGTTCAAGGAAAACAACCCAACTTATTTCCCTGTGGAAGCCCAGTAGACCCAATGAGCAAAAAATGGGCCAGGGCTCAGTGTCGTTAAACATTATACATCACGCTGAACTTTGTCTAATGAAAAGTGCAAGAAATGATGTTTTTTTGGAGTGAGGATTGGATATCTTATATTTAGGCTTTAAAACAGGCAGCAGAGGATGTCTTTTGACTTTTGTTGTAAAACTTACAGTAATATGAACAAAAAATGTTCAGGTTTGATCTATGGTTATTTGATGTCTGTTTCTTTGAAACTTTGAATATAATCCAAGAAAATTTCAAAAGATAGCTTTTGATCCCACTAACAATCTTTACTAAGAGAATGTGGGGATTTTGTTCCCAAAAAAGAAAAAAAAAAAAAAAGCGAGAGAGAGAATGTTGGGATTTGATGATGGGCAATAAAGAAATTTCATGTATTTTTTGGAGGTGTTTTGCCTTTTTGCCAACATCTCAATCAGTTCTAATTCCACCACCAATATGCTATCTTTCATCATTATTGCATTTGATGGAAAGTTTATCTTAAAATATTGGAATCCATGTTGGAAAAGATAGAAAAAGAGTTCTCCAATACTAGTATAAGATAGTTTAAATTTAATTTCTAACCTTTTTGCTTTTTTCTTAAATTTCTTCACCTTCTGATAGCATGTTTAATTAGTTTACGCTAATATTGTAAACGGTGTGCCTAGGTGCTAAGTAGTAAGTGGCCGCCTCGTTGAAGCCATTAGATGATGAACTTGCGTGTTTAACTCAGCGTAAACTAACGCCTTCGCGCTAGTTAGTGCCTTTTACAACAGTAGTAACAACACTGATGTATATTGTCATTAAATTAAATTCATTCAATAAGACTATTACCCAATTTAAGATTTTTATTTTTATTTTTATCTTGAGTTGTATAATAAGAGTTAATTATTTTTCATCTCTTACCTCATTTCACTTATATATATATCAAATGATTCGAACTCAAAATTTTTTATTTCCATTAGAAGAAAAATTATTATCGATTATTTAAATCATTAGCATATTTTTCTTTTTTCACAACAAAAGTCGTGCGGTAAATGTATCAAAATAAAAGTGTTAGGCAACTTGGCATGATCCATATTGCACTTTGGGGAATTTCATCAAAAGATGCTTCACCAAACGTTTCTTAAGAAGTTATTTATTTTTGGACGATACCTTTGAAAATTCTTCCATCTCCATCCGGATGCTTTTCCTAACCTGAACTAGGTAATATTAAAATTCATATGCTTCAATGGAATATGATTCCCAACTCATCCAGCC